CGTTCCCCTCTGCCATGCGCTCCATGAAGAAGGAGGCTGAATCCTCCGTCTGGAGCAGGTGTTCATTTCCTGCCACCTCTGCATCTGCCTCCAGGTTGGCTCACTGTGACCTGGGGACCCATCGCAGCCTTCTTGTCACACGGCTGATGGAGACATGTGCCAGGCTGCGGCTGCTCAGGTGGGTACCCAGCAACGCAGATCGAGGCCTGAGGTCTCTGCTGAGCCAGGACCTGCCCCAGGCCATTGGTGACACTGGCCTTCTGGCTCCCCTTTGCCAGAGGGACTCGTACAGGGAGAGCCCCGGGCAGCACCGGGAGCTCGGGTGGCCCTTCCCCTCTCCTGGCCTCCCCTTCTGCGTGGAGGACCCCGAGACGCGTCCAGCCTGCAGGCCTCTAGCATGTCCCTGGTCTCTCAGCTTGTCCCAGGTTAACCTCCCTGACACCAGCGATGCCGGCTGCCTGCTGCAGCGCCTCCTGCTGGCCCTCTCGGAGCTGAGGAGCTTCCGGTGTGCAGATAAGACTCCCCCCAGCCCCTGCCGCTCGGCCCCGCCCAGCACTTCCTGTCCCCCCAGCCCTGGGCCTAGGGGACTCTTGTTCCCCCCAGTGGACAGGTGGCACAGGCTCCTAGAGAAGATGCCGAGGGCCCAGGGTCACAGACAAGGAAGAGCTTTCTTAGTGACAGGGTTATTCCCTTCCCAATGCTCTGGTGTCATTTTTCTTTTGAAATAATTGCAAACTAGTAAGAAGTGGCCAGACGACCCACACCTGTCATCCCAGCGGCTCAGGAGGCTGAGGCAGGAGGACGGCCAGCTCAAAGCCAGCCTCAGCAACTTAGTGAGGCCCTGAGCAACTTAGCGAGACCCTGTCTCTAAATAAAAAAAATAAAAGGTGCTGAGGATGTGGTTGAGTGGTTAGGCACTGGGTTCCCTTCCTAGGACCAAAAAAAAAAAAAATGACGATGTAAATGTCTGCTTCCTCAGTCTGTCCCTTGTTGGCAAGTCTCACTGGATCTGTATGACAGTTGCAAAAGGAAGCTTTTCTAACGTTCAGTCCAACCCATTGCCTCATGAAGAGAAGCTCTGAAGCCACAGGTCCTTGGCCCCGCCCACAGAGGCCCTCAGCCCCGCCCACAGAGGCCCTCGGCCCCGCCCACAGAGGCCCTTGGCCCCTCCCAAGAGGCTCTTGGCCCCTCCCACAGAGGCCCTTGGCCCCTCCCAAGAGGCTCTTGGCCCCGCCCACAGAGGCCCTTGGCCCCGTCCACATACTGGCTGAAAGTCGCAAAGCAGTGATGGACAGCAGCCCAACCAGGGCGTCCTTGTGAGTCGCAGTAGTGGTTAGGAGATGGCCCAGGCGCCTGCCTCCAGCTATATCTTGGCTTAATAAGTCCCCACGGGAGAGGTTTTTAAAGACAAGGAGGTCCCCACACCCTGTCCCCAGGAGCCACATCCTCACCCTCTGCTGCCAGCTTCAGGGGCTCCTGAGCCCCAGGGCTCCTGCCTGACTTGCTGCCCTCTGTCCCCACCAGGCTGACCTCCAGCTGCGTGAGCCCCGAGAGCCTTGTCCACCTGGCGGCTGGCCTGGTCCACTGCCACCACCTGGAGGAGCTGGAGTGAGTCCGGGGTGGAGTGACCAGGGAGGGGCTGGTCCCAGGGACAGGACAGTGGGGCTTTAGGTAGGTGCACAGGGACGGTCCTCCTGCTGAAGTCCAGCCGCTCCGAGCGTGGCCGGGCAAGGCTGGGCACTGGGTTCTTGGTCTCAGCATTGCCACTGACCTACACAGTGTCACTGGTAGGCCTTGTCCCTGGTGTCCTTTCACAGCAGGGCAAGCAGTGCCGCCACGGGGACCCCAGAGCTGGAAGCCGTCTGGGATCTGCGGGAGCTTGCGGGTGGGGGGCAGAGGGGCGGCTCAGCTCCAGGGCCGGGCGGCCCACCTAACTGTGCCTGTGCTTGGTCCAGCTTCTCCAACACCTGGCTCAGTGAGGAGGGCACCAGGACACTGATGGGGGCCCTGCAGGGGAAGTGCAGGCTGAGGAGACTCGAGTAAGTGGCGGTGGTGAGTAATGGGGAGCCGGAGCGAGCGGTGGGTGGGCAGGGAGAGGGAGTGTGCCTAGGAACCCTGATATCTCTTGTGGGCACAGACTGGCAAGTCTCTGATGGCCCCGGGGGGAGCTAAATGCTTTCCCAAGATCTTTTGATTTTTTCTGGACTCGATCATCAAGGTGATTGGTCTCAGGAAACTCAAACCAGGAGGTTATTGGCTTATGTCATGGAAAATCCCAAGGCAATTGACTTCAGGCATGGCTGGATCCGGGCGCTGGCTGCTGGTCAGGTTTCTCTCCCCCACTCCACTCAGCTTGCTTCTCAGGTGGGCTGGCCCGTGGCTACTGGCTTATTTTCTCCCAGTTTATTGGAAAGAGAGCACCTTTCCCCTTATGGTCATAACAAAAGGCCTAACTGAGTCTCACTGGACTGGCTTCAGCCACACATTCATCGCTGAAGCTCTAAATACAAACTGTTCTCAGTGGCCAGATGCGGGTCACAAACCAGCCTAAAAGAAGTCGCATGCACAGATTCCTGTTCAGACAGCATCCAGGGGCGGGGGAAAAAACCATCAGCGTTTCCTGCTTTTAATCTCTCCAAAGTTTTTCTGATGACCAAAAATACCTCCTGGTTATAAAAAGTTCCATCCTGATGGAAATCAGTAACAAAGGGCACCAAGTCCCCAGGAGAAGCGACTCCCCGGAGAAAACTTGCGGGAACAATCCGTCTGTGACCCTTTTCTCCGGTTTCTTCTCAACGTATCTTCTGAGTGCGGTTTAAAAAGTAGCTTTGACTTCTGGCCATAGCACTGAGATCCTGCGTTGGGCTCCTCGGCTTGCCCTGGGGAGGGGGCGGGGGCTAGAGAAGCCTGGGACCACAGGGCCACTGTCTTCCCAGAGCCCCCCACGTGCCCGTGTTTCTCCTCGGCTTCCCAGAAGTTTTTATTTGGGAGCGAGAGGCCCCACGAGGTCATCCTCTAACTCACTGATCCATCTGACAAAGACTGACAGGCCCCTGGGCCAGGGCTGGCAGCTGGGGGTCCCAGAAGCACTCAGTCCTGTGCCCTGACCTGGGCACCTTGCCTCTTCTGATTTCCCTGGCCCCTGTGCTGCTGCTTCCCCCGTGGGGCCTCAGTTACCGACCTTTGAAGTGGGCACATCAAAACTGTGTCCCCAGGAGGGAGCCACACACACTTGATGTCTTTCCTTTTGAAAAACAAGAAATCAGTCCTCAGTGACCAGGGGCCTCTTTGAATTCCAGATCTGTCCTTTTTGAGCGTCTCTTTCCATGGGAAGCTTCTCCTGAAGTCCAGCTGGCTTCTTCCAGCTGTCCCCCCTGCAGCAGGGTGGTTAGGAGCCACATCAGCTGGGGGGCAGCTCTTGGCAGGGTGGTCAACTATCCTGGTTTGCCAGGGCTGTCCCGGCTTTAGCGCTGAAAGTGGCCAGTCCTGGAAAACCCTCAGCTCTAGGCAAACCAGGACAGCGGATCGCCTCCTGTGTCCGTCCACCTCTTACTGTGTGGGCTTGTGCAAGTCCCTAAACCTCTCTGTGCTTTAGCGTATTTTCTCAGTTTTGAGGATAAAAGCAGTCCCATCTTCCTGGGATTAAATAATACACGGTAGGAGCTTCAAGCAGAGGCTGCACGGTGTCGTTAGTAGGAACTGTTGTTACTGTCCCCTCTGCCCAGGCTGGGTGATCCCAGGGGGCCCAGCCTTGGAAATCCTGCAGACTTGGCTTCAGTTCTGGAGGCTGCTGTGCTCTGGGTGGAACTCGGAGCAGGTTCTGTCTCTCTGAGCCTCAGGGCTCCTCAATCTGTAAAGCAGAGATGACAGAAGGCCCCAGCCCAGTGCGTGGTTCCTATTATCTACTCGAAGCACGGTCCCCATTACTGCTTACGGTCAGTCTGGGTCCCATGGGGTCCAGAACACAGACTGCAACCTGGGGGGCCCCCAACACTCATGCAGCAAACCCTAAGCCCAGAGGCCTTGCCGTGTGCACCTGGCCCCACACCACACTGCCAAGTTCATGTGGCCTCCTCTCTTCCAGCCTCAGTCAGCTGCTGCTGGGTGGCTCCACGCTGGCCATGCTCACCCAGGGACTCAGCCACATGACCCTCCTGCAGAGCCTCCGGTAAGTGGCCACAGGGATGAGCGGGAAGTCACACTCCCTGGCTCTACTGGGACGTGGACCCGGAAGCGCTGGGCACCTCCCTGAGGTCCCTCTGTGGCTACCTCTGGGGACATCTCTGTGCCCTCCTAAGTCGATGCCCACTACTCTTGCCTCTTGGTGTCACCAGTTTCCTCCTGGTGACAAAAGTGACCTGGAGGAGCCGAGTCCAGGTCCCTACACATCCCTTCACGTGCCCCTGCTTCTCCTTGGGCTCTTATTAAGATGCCAGTCAGGCCCCACAGCGAGTGCCCACCTTCTGTGTTTCCAGCACATTCCAGGGGACGCCAGTTCTGAGAAGTAAGGGTCTGAACTCGGACCTGGTGGCCTCCATAGCCTCTCCCTGTGGTCTCCACTCCTTGTCCACATTGATAAACAAATACCAGGGACTGAACTCAGGGGCACTCGACCACTGACCACTCCCCAGCCCTATTTTGTATTTTATTTAGAGACAGGTCTCCCTGAGTTGCTTAGCGCCTGGCTTTTGCTGAGGCTGGCTTTGAACTTGGGATCCTCCTGCCTCAGCCTCCCTAGCCACTGCAATTATAGGCGCGCGCCACTGTGCCTGGCTAAATAGCACCCTCTTGATGTGATTATTCAAAACAGAAAATATGGGGCCTCAGATCAAAGCAACAGCACAAAGCCTGGCTTTAGTTTGTCTGTCCCTCCTCCAGCAGGGCAGAGAAATAGGCTGTAAGGTAGAGCTGAGTGGGGGATGGGGGGCGGGGTGCACAGGACCAGGAGGGTAGTGGGCAGGACATTGCGGGTCATTCCACCCAAAATAAACTCACTGGAAGACACTTCAGTAAATTTTAATTTGCAAAAGACAAGAAAACCACCTCTAGGCAGATCCTTCGCAGGGGGTGAGACGGTTGCCCGGGCCCTTCCTTTAGGTGTGTTCTCCCCATGCACAGAGGCAGGGGGTCAGGCTGCAGAGAGGGTAAGGCCCCAGTGGGGAAGGCTGCCACTGGCAGGAGGGGAGCACTGTCCCCTGGAGCCGGGGGCCTGGACTCTAGAACCACATGGAGCTGGCTTCAGCCAGGCCGGCCCAGAGCCCCTGACCCGGCAAAGCTAACACGGTCCACCCTGCCTGCTAGCCACTGGAGCCTGGCCAGTCTGGCTCACCTCTAGGCCTCAGTTCTCACCTGGATGTTGGGGACATTCATGCCCATTCCAGTCGCCACCCTCCCCAGGAGTTTTGTGAGTGGTCCACGAGCCCCTGGGTGTATACAGGTTTTGCAAACTGTAGAGTCCTGGGCGCAGCCCCTGCGAAGGCCTTTAGGCTCTTTTCTAAGGTCTCTTGACCTGTCCCCTGCTCCTCCAGACTGAGCGGGAACAGCATTGGTGACGTCGGCTGCTGCCACCTCTCTGAAGCACTCAGAACTGCTGCAAGCTTGGAGGAGCTGGGGTGAGTGGCCTGTCCCCTTCCCCAGACCTGATGATGCTGGCAGGGGAGACAGCACAAGGGCTGCTCCAGGAAGTTCTCGGCTTCTTAGTCGTCTCCCCTCCTGGCGCTTCACACTGCCTCGCCATTGCCTGGCCGAGAACCGTTGAGACCCTAAGACAGGGTGTAAGAGAGTCAGTGGCAGCAAGAGGGATGTAGGTCAGACAACAGGGAGAACATCTTAAACAGAAGCCAAAAGTTGGGAGCCCTCTCGCACACAGGGTGACAGGGCTGCCCCGGGTGAGCCCAGGCCTCTCTCTGCTCCTGCTCTGGAGGCGGGTATGGACCAGATGAGGGGGTGGAAGGCCGTGCATTTGATGGTCATGTCATTCTCTCCCCAAGATTGAGCCACAACGCCATCGGAGATGCCGGTGCCGGGCACTTAGCCGCCATCCTCCCCAAGTTGCCCGAGCTCAGGAAGATAGAGTGAGTGGCCCGCCCTGTGAGGGGAGGGGTCCCGCGGTCCTCACCCCTGCTCCCAGGAGACACCAGCCCCCGGTTCCCGCCAGCACTGAGATCTCCCTCCCCCCCCCCTCAGTGTCAGGGCAGTGGGACGGGCCACCTCCTGCTGTAGGGTGTCCCTGTGTGGGGTGTGGGAGGAGAGTCGGGATCCGATGGCTGTCCCCTCCTACAGCCTCTCAGCGAATGGCATCGGCCTGGCTGGGGGGGCGCAGCTGGCCAAGTCCCTCGCTCTTTGCAGGAAGCTGGAGGAGCTGGGGTAAGTGTGCCCTGGTGGGATGTCCCCAAGTCCCCAGGCCCTCCTGTCCCCGGGGGCCGGAGGGGTCCTGGCAAGTCATCCAGGCTCAGCGTGCCCTCTCCTCTTTCAGGCTTGGCTTCAATGCGCTGGGGGACCCCACTGCCCTGGGGCTGGCTGAGGGACTGCCCCAGCACCTGAGGGTCCTGCAGTAAGTACTTCCCGTCCCCAGAGCCTGAGGGACAGCAGGGAGGGGACCTGGGAGCAAGGGGGGTCTCCTGCTGGGACTCAACTGCAGCATGTTCTGGGGCTACCTTGCTCCTCTGGTGTCCAGCAAGGAGTCGGGAGAACCCGCCTCGCTGGGTCCCACCACCTGCCCCTGTCCCCGTGAGCCCAGGCACCTCTGAGACTCAGTTTCCCATCTTCAAACAGAGTCCAATGTCCCCAGCTCCGCCTGCCCTGCGAGCCAGTCTGAGAGGGGACAAGGGTGTCGGCCAAGCGCTCTGTGGGAGGGGTGCCCCCAGCATGGCCCTCACCTTGTGGTCTACGTTGGTGGCCTCCTCTGAGTGGCCCGCAGCCCCGTGGGCCTGGAAGGTCCCCGTGCCCCATCTCCAGGAAGGGGGCTGGGCTTGGAGAAGAGGGGGAGCTTGCCTTCCCAGTGCACTAAGAAGCTGGCCTTGAACCTGGGCTCTCAGACCCCAGCGCCAGGGGGACACCCGCCACAGGTGGAGAGGGGCTGGGGCCGTGGTTAACCAAAGGCCAAGGGTCAGGTGCTGCAGGAGAGGGCGCCGAGGGCCGGGGGCTCTGGAAAGGCCCCCAGTCCACGCAGCTGGTCCCCAGGCTCCTGTTGCCCCCCCCCCCCGCAGCCTGCCTTCCAGTCACCTGGGCCCAGAGGGGGCGCTGAGCCTGGGCCGGGCCCTGGACGGATGCCCGCATGTGAAGGAGATCAGGTGAGGGGTGCCGCCAAGCGGGGGGGGGGGGCTGGCAAGAGCCTGGGGGCCCCTCTCACAGGGTCTCCCCCGCTCCCCAGCTTGGCAGAGAACAGCCTGGCTAAAGGGGTCCCACACTTCTGCAAGGGGCTCCCGCAGCTGCAGCGGATAGAGTGAGTAGCCTCCCTGCCCCGGGCCCTGCGCTGGGGACGCCCTCCTCTGCTGCACCTGATCCGGGGAGGGCCGTGGAAGTGACAGAGACCTCAGGCCTGGGCGTGGGAGGGACAAGAGAGGGCCACGTTCCTAGGACTCCCCAGATGCCCCCTCATCCCGCCCCCTTGTCCCTCCAGCCTGGCTTCCTGTGACATCGACAACCAGGCTGCCAAGGGCCTCGCCGCCAGCTTCACACTCTGTCCAGCCCTTGAAGAAATCCTGTGAGTGCCTTGCAGGAGCCCTGAGCCCTGAGTGGGCGCTGTGTGCCCAGGGCCCGTCGGGCCTCTCTGACCGGTGGCCCCATATATAAATGGGGACAGTCGTTTTTGTTTAAACCTCTGCTTGTAGAAGCTCTGCCACGTGGTGGGCTTCGAGGGGTTGGGCACAGCCATCGGCTTCCCCTGTCTGTGCCGAGTGGGAGGGGAGGTGGCCCAACCGTCTCTGAGGGGTGGTCGGCTCTGAGCTTCCCTTTGGGAGGCGCCTCTCCTGGTTTGGGGAGCCACCATGGGTGGTGCAGGACGCCTAAGCCAATCGACACCCGACCTCTCGCCTGCCCTGCCCGCGGGACCCAGATCCCCTTGTCAGTCACACTGGCCTGGGGCCAGGCAAGCAGACTGCTGGACTAGCCTGGGACCCCGCCGCAGGGTGGAAGGAAATGCCACCCCCCAAAACAGAGGCCACAGGGGATCACGAGAGGGTGCTGGTTTGAATCTTAGCGGCCTTGACCTTGTTCATTACACCAGAGAGAACGTCTCAGGCCTGGCCGACTCACACCCGTGAGCCTCCCTTTGAACCAACAGGCGCAGGGCACAGACCCAGCACCTTAGGAAGGAAATAGGTTGCAGCTAGAAGTTGCCGTCACTGTTTGCACTGTGCTTACCCATGGATGTAGCCTTCTGTGTAGGGTCCTGCGCACTGGGTTCCCATTGACAGGCGTGATGTTTCCTGTTAAGATTGATTTCTTAGCCGGGCGCCATGGCGCATGCCTGTCATCCTCATGGTTTGGGAGGCTGAGGCAGGAGGATCATGAATTCAAAGCCAGGCTCAGCAACTTAGCAAGGCGCTAAGCAACTCAGTGAGACCCTGTCTCACAAGGGGCTGGGGGTGTAGCTCAGACGGTAGGGTGCTTGCGAAGCTAAGTTGCTGAGCCTGGGTACAATCCCCGATACCAGGAAAAAAAAAAAAAAGATTAAGTACAAAATAAGAAGTTTGACTTAAAGAGAAGCATGGCGGGCGATAACCTACACAATGAGATGGGAGGCCCACGGGTGGGCGCGGCACCGGGTGGGGGAAGGCTGCATCATAGCTGAGCTCCTACCCACGCCTGCGATCTCAGGACAGCCCGCTCTTAAGGTGAGAGCAGACTAGCTGGGGAACAGGGGATGGGTACAGAGGAAGGAGCTACCTGTGCCTGGAGAAGTCCCAAAGGGAAGGTGACCTCCCCTGCATCTGCCTGCCCTCCCACCCCACCCCTCCCAGCTCTCCCACAGCTGACTCCCCCCGTGGGCTCCTCCCTTGCAGACTGTCCTGGAATCTTCTTGGGGATGAGGCGGCTGCTGAGCTGGCCCAGGTTCTGCCCCGGATGGGCCGGCTAAAGAGAGTGGAGTATGAGAGAAGGGCATTCTGGGGTGGGGAGGGCTGCAGGGGAGGAGGAGGGGAGACCTGCATCCTGCGAAAGCCCTTGAGTTGCATCCTGCCAAGCTCAGTTCTCCCTGGGATGGAGCCTGCAGTCTCCTTGCTGCATCGGCCACAGTCCACTGTTGCATGTTGGTAGTGTGGGGAGGGTGTGTCCCCATCTTGGCCTGAGACCTAGCTAGGGATGCCCTTCCCCTAGTCTCATGCCTGTCTCTTACTCTCTCTCTCTCTCTCTCTCTCTCTCTCTCTCTCTCTCTCTTCCCCCTCTTCTTCCACTGTCCACTGGGAAGCCTGGAGAAGAATCGGATCACAGCTTGTGGGGCCTGGCTCTTGGCGGAAGGCCTGGCCCAAGGGTCTGCCATCCAAGTCATCCGGTAACAGAGGCGCGGAGGGCAGGCGTGGTGGGTGGAAGGTCTCAGCAACCCCCACAATCTAAGGGGACTTGCTCTAGGAAGAGGCAGGGTGTAGGTCAAGGATTATTGAAGGAGACTTGGGCCACTCCACCAAGACCCTGGCTGCAAGCCGACCTGGATCAACCCCAGCTCCGCTATTTGCCAGTTGTGTTAACTCTGCACCAGTAACTCAGCTTCTCTGAACCTCAATGTCCTGATCTGTAAAATGGAGATAATGATAGTATCCACCACAGAGAGTAGTTGTGAGCATGTAAAGCACTGAGCCTGCCCCACAGCAAGCCCTTAGGTGGTACTTGTCATCACTGCCACCTACAGTTGAGCAAGGGCACTGCACATGGGGACCTCATCACATGGCAGACATACTAGATCTGTAGTAGATGGGGTAAATGTCAAGTTCCCTCAACGTCACCCTATTAGGACAAATTCAGAAAGTGGAAGTGAAGTATCTTGAAGAAGGGGAGCATTGTCCGTATTTGCACAAATGTGTCATAGGTGCGTACCCCTGGCTGGGACCACAGCCCCCCAGGGAAGAAGACAGCGGGAGAAGTCAGAGGTGGGGGTGGGGGACACCGTCTCCCTGGGGTAGCCGTGCCGGTCTAGACTGCTCTGTGGGGCAACTGGGTACGGCTCCTCTGCTTTGGGTCCTTGATCCCCCGATCTGTAGGCAGGACAATCAGTGGAGGCAGAAGCCGGGGGGCAGCTCTGGGTGCTGATGCCCGTCTCTGCCCTGCAGCCTCTGGAATAACCCCATTCCCCCCGGAGTGGCCCAGCGTCTGCAGAGCCAGGAGCCCAGGCTGGACTTCGCCTTCTTTGACAAGCAGCCCCAGACCCCTCGGGGTACTTGATGGCCCCCTGGAAGACCCTCGAGATCCAGCCAAGCGATGCCAACTTCCGGCTCCAGGAGAGAGGGCTCAGCAGAAGGGCCTCAGCTGGCTGCCCTGCGCCCCGCACCTGCACCAGGAGGGTCCTGCGTGGTCCTCAGGGAGGACATTTTTTGAGGACTGGGAGCCTGGTATGGCCAAAGGAGGACACTGCTTTATGCATGTTCTATGTGACCAGGGGGGACATGTGGCACAGTGAGGCTGTCATGATGTATCTGTGACACAGCAGACCATGCATGACTTCTTGGCATGTGGCACCTACATGGGACTTGTCATGTGTCCCATGTCAATGGCCTGGGTCCTAGTCTTACACGTGGCAGGACACATGATTGGTGAGGCACAGACATTGGTGAGATACATGAGCAGTGTTCACATCACATGATGCATGACCTGCCAGATCACCTCGGGCCGGTCCAAGGTCTAATTTATTACTTTTTTAAAGCAAATATCTATTTATAGATTGCATTACCAGAGCAGCTGCTGCAGGAAGAGACCCCCGCCCTGAGCTGGGGGAGAGACTATCTGAGTACTGTCTGGCCCCGTGGCTCAGGGGCCAGGGCTCTGGGCCACGCTGGGGCCTCAGCCATGAAATCCCCTCCTGCCTCCAATCTCATTTTCCCATCGAGGTGACCTGCCCCCTTAGATGCTGGGTTTCTAGGGACTCTGGACCCAGGTCCAGGTAGAGCCAACCTGACCTTGGGAGAGATCAGGCCTGTTCTGTCCTATTTAAGGGAAAAGCCAGGTCCAAGGGTTCTAGGTGGGCACTACCAAAACATGGGGCAAGGCTGCTGCATTTATTGCTACCTCGGGGCCCAGGTGAGGCTCTGGGGACTCCACAGTATTCTTGTGACTTCAAGCAGGACCCAGGTTGGTCAAGTTTGATCAATATGTGGACTGTCTCCCAGCTGCTAGCTTGAGTCTGATGCTTCCTGCCACCCCACAGAGGTTAGAAGTGAGTCGGTCCTGCCCCAGGGACTGGAGAACAGAGCAGGTGACGGGTGTGCTAAGAGGGGGGGACAGGGGTTCAAGTTCAGACTCTGCCTCTCAACGGCCACGCTATAGAGGGCAGGCCACGTCCTCTGTACAGACCTCACCTGCAAGAGGAGGGTGTCGCGGAAGCGCACAGTGTTAAAAATACCGAACAGCTTCTGTTTGACTCGCATCATATTAAACCCTTTTATACACTAATTGCATTTGAAATGTGAAACTGTTGGCAGATCCAGACGGTGACTTCTGTCAAGTGCCGGTCCAGCCCTCCCACTCAAGGGTGATCTGCTGGGGTCACGTGGCTGTGCCCTCTGGAGGGGACCCACACCCCTCAGGTTGCTGCAGTCCCCCCAACACTCCCCTTTCTATCAACACCCTGTTGCCCTGCCCCTGGTTTTCACAGCTCACCTGGTCCTCGTGTGCACCTGAGTGTGCGTGTGTACACACACACACACACACACACACACACACACACACACACACTATTGATGAGTTCAGGAAAACCAGGTGTGCAAAGTCCCTGGTATAAGAAATAAGCCCTGGTAACATGCCAGTTCCATTCCCCTTTTAGAGCTGAATATCTTATGGGATTGGAAAATGCCCCAAATGACAGAATCACAGCACCCCCTCTCTGTGACCTGTCTGTGGGTGGAGCAAGTGGAGCTTGTGGGGGCGCCTTCCCCACTAATGTGAAAAGCCAGGCTGGGGGTGCAGTTACAACCGAGCGCCACAGGAGGGCAGGAGAGCCCACTAGCAATCCCTGAGATGTGTTCATCTGTTCATCCCAAAGGTGAGGGGCTGTTCCCACCTGGCTAGGAGCTTGGGGTGTCCCTGCCTACTTGTAGCTCACTGATCCTGACCTTTGTCGCCCTCCACGTTATCCCAGGCCTCCCGCCAAGAACAAGGAGAAAGTCCTCTGGCCGAGTGCCAAGCACCCACGTGTCGCACTGGGACATCCTTATCGGGCCAGGTCAGGGCACAACTGGCACCAAATAGCACCATCCATCAGTCTAGTCACGGGGGAGTCGGTCAGCAGGTGGAGGATCCAAGAACGGTACCTGAAAACCCCGGGCCCCAAATTCTCTCTCCCCTTCCTGGGACCCGATGCCAAGTTGGAGGCCCACGTCACGTGGGTGAGGAATCCCGTGGATGACTGTGTTAAGATACAGCCTCTCCTGCCACCTACCTCCTTGGAGGCCTTGAGTGACTTTCTGTCTGACATTGATGGGGACCAGTCTCCCTGCCCGAAGTAGGTCCCATTTAAATATATACATGACATCAAATAAAATTCAAAGAACAATAGAGCAAGCGTGTCAATCAAAACAGTGCTGCCAGTTCTGGGGGTAAGCCGAGGAAGTGAGGGGGCCAGTGGCACCCAGGTCCACCTGCCAGGCAGGGAGAAGCTCCCAGGGCGACTCTGTCCCTTGGCCTCCAACCTGGGGTTTTGTTCCATCTTCCTGACGGGAGTCACAGTGTCCCCCTTCCTATCTTCAAGGGCCGCTCAGTTGCCTCTCTGCCCTCCCCCCACCCCTAGTGCTTCCCAAGCTATGAAGTTGCAGTTACAGAAATGATGACGTGCATGGGTCCAGCGCTCAGGGGGGCCGGGCCTGAGGTTCTGAATTTCCCCCAAGCAGTGTCTACGAAGTCACCTGGGGAGCTTTCTATAAGTGCGTTGGGCTGGAGATGTGGCTCAGTGCTAGAGTGCTCGCCTGGCACGTGTGAGGCTCTGGGCTCCGTCCCAGCACCAGGAAAGACAAAAACGGCATTTAGAAAACTCCCTGAGCGCTTCTGATTCGCAGTCACTGCTCCAGAGGAGGCCGTCCCTTGGAGGGATTGGGCACGCCTTCACACCTAGGCCTCTTATTCTGACCTGAGAATCCTGGTGACCCTCCCTCCCCAGATGAGGACACTGAGAACCACAGGCTCTTTCTAATATTCTGGGAGGCACAGAGTCAGTAACTCGCAGCACCTGCATTTGAACCAGGCCTTTGTGACTCTGTGACACCCTCGGTACCGCCTCGGTTTCCTCATCTGTATCATAAGCAAAATGAGACAAGGCACAGGATCTATTTCCTTTGGCTGCAAGGATGACCCTGTGGCTACTTCTTGATGCTCCTGGGGAGATTTCTGGATTCCCTGGTTATTTCTATAGAGAATCACCATCTCTGACCCCGAGACGAATCACAACCTCAGCAACAATCTCCCCACTTTACAGATGAGAAAACTGGGGGGACAGAGAGGGTGCATGACTTGCCCAAGGTCACACAGGGAGTATTTAGTGGGGCTCAGATTCCAACCCTGGATCCAAAAGGTAAAGAGGGCCTCGGAGTGGTCCTGGAATGAGGATCCAACTAGCTTGCAGGTCTGTGTGCTCTTGAGGGAGAGGGGTTGCTGGGGAGATGAAGGGGATGCACGCTGCCTGGGCTCTGCTTCTGCCAGTCCCGAGGAATGCTAGTCCAGCCAACATGCCCTTTGGACACATCTGGAGCCACAGCAGAGACCGTTCGGTGGTTGGCTTGGTAAAGGTCCTCCCAGGGTGGGGCCCAGGAAGCCCTGACAGCTGGTGCTCCTTCTGCCATCCAGCTGCACCAGCGAAGACCCCACCCTACCCGTGTGTCTCCAGGCCACCAGCACCCTCCTCCCCAGCTCTTGGAAACCACATTTGGTGAACTTATGCCCCCAACACCCGACTCCACCCTGGCTGCCCAAAGGGACCTTTGACTTGGGGAGGAGGGAGCAGAAGGGGTGCTATCTCCAGAGAACCAAGGCAACTGGGGTCCCCTGGGTTAGAGCCGGGGTCCAGCAGCAGCACCCAGACCCCCACTGCCTTATAGTCCAGGGCAGGCCTAGAACTAACCGAGGAACATCTTGGGATAGCTGGAGGGGCTGGAGAGGCCTGGTGTCCCAACCCTACAAGGGCGTCATCCCTGCATCGATCCGAGTGAGCACAAGCTGGCATTATAAATAGCAATTACACACTAGCCCAGCGCCTGCCCATGCCCGGTTCCATCTCACTGGGTCCTCCTAGCCATCCCATAAAGCAAACACTGAGTCCATGCCCTCTTACAGAGAGCGAAACTCATCCGGAGCGCTGGACAGCCTCACCAGGGAGCAGCAGAGATTCAAAAGCAGAACCAAGGCGCCGGGCCCGAGGTGTGTCCAAAATCAGTCTCACCAGCCTCTACCCAGATCCTCGAGGGCAGAGCTTCGTCATAGATTTGTTTCTACATCAATTTCCGGGGGCAGGTGGTATTTTCTAAAGGCTGCCATCACAGCATCCCACATGCTTTTCGGACTCTGTGACAGTGGCACTCCTCTGTGACAATGTGGGACTTCCAAGGCCAGGGCCCATTGAAGATGATGAAGCATCAACCCTGTTCTCTTGTCTTGCTCACTCTTGGAGCTCAGCACCGGGCTACAAGGAAGCAGCAGTAGCCAGATATGTGGGTAAGAGACTTCTAGGTGACTCCAGCCCCTGCCACTGCCTCAATTGGGGGTGAACTGCAACTGGCCGAGCCCGGCTGACCCCAGAAGCATGGGACAAGGTTTGGGGTGATTGGGGACACAGCTTGGATGACCTCAATACCCACACCTCCCCAGGCTCAGCCAGGACCTGGTGAACAGGTCTGAGTCATGGGTACTTCTCCAGGATGTCTTTCATTTACAAGCACACCGAAGGCCACCCTGGCTATTCTGTTTGTCCAAACAGCACAAGCAATGAAAATAAACACCCAGATGGCAGGCCTTGACGCACTCACATGCCCTATGACCTAAGGGACAAGGGCTCATTTAGGGCAAGGAAGGCCTCCCACTGTGCACCGACAGCTCCCTGCCAGGGCAAGGGAAGATCTCATTCTGCACTTCGCAGGCTTGTGTGGAGCATGGTGGGAAGACAGTGTGTGAAATCAAGCCAAGATGGACACTTGGCCTTCATCCACTGACCTCTGGGCCCTCCTGATCCTTGTTTTATGTTTTCTAAAGACAGCTCTATGGAGACACAATTCACACAGCAAGACATTCACCCTTTGAAGTGTATAAGTCGGCAGCGGGTATCTGCAGTTACGCAGCCATCACGGTAATCTCATTTTGGAACCTTTTTATCTACCCCCAAAGAAAGCCTGTATCAATAGCAAGCGCCACCCCACTCCTCCCAGGTCCACATAATAATGAATCTGCTTTCTGTCTCTATGGATCTGTTTGTTCTGGACATTTCATCTAAATGAAATCATGGAACGCGTGGTCTGCCGTCACTGGTTCCTTTCACTTGGCGTGTTTTCGAAGCCCGTCCCTATTGCAGCGGGTGGCAGTAGTTCGTCCCTTGCCGCAGTTGAATACTATGCCACTGTCTGGCTATATGTACCGCATTTCCTTTTCCATTCATCACTAATGCACACTGGGTTGCTTCCACAGTTGGGCTTTTGTGAATCATGCTGCTGTGGACGTTCATGCACTAGCTTGTGTGCCGAGATGTTTTCATTTCTCTTGAGAACTGCCGTGCACCCTGGCTTTGCCAACTCCCACGGCCAAGCTGGGTGTTCTAGACTACCCCGCCTCCATCTTTGCACTTTTCACTTAGTAATACAACTGCCTGGGCCCTGGACTTGCTCCCCAGGGGTGAGCAACTTGAGAGGGACATCTGGTTCACCACTGCACACCCCAGCGCTGGGCCCTCCGGCTGCCGGAGAAGCAAGAGATGCTGGGGGCCAGGAGAGCCCTCCTAGAGGACGCTGGGCCAGAGCTGGCTCTGAGAAGCCCCATGGGATGGTCAGCCCCAGATCTGGGCCTTGACAGCTTCATAAGCAAGAAAGGTAAAGAGAGCTTGGAGAGAGATAGGGTGTCCCGAGGACAGGCAGGCAGAGAACAAAGCTAAGAGCCCTGGGGTGGTTCGGTGGCTGCCCCTCTAAGGCTGCTAAGTGCCAGTGACTCAGACACCGAGGGAGGTTCGCAGGCTGCAGTGAGGCTCTGCCATTAACTCTCACCAGCCCGGAATGGAAACCCACAACCCAAGCCCAGGTCTTAACCCTCAGCCGCCTGGTCCTTGCGCCCCAGGGCAGGGTGCTGTGTGGCCTTGAGCTCCCCGGAACAGTTCCGCTCCCCCAATCTGATTAGCAGTGGCTCAGCTGTCTGTTCCCTGGTGGTTAACTTGCCCAAAGGGCCCATAAATGCCACCAAGTGATTATAAGCAGCTTAAGTGCCCAGCAACAGACTCATTTCTTAAGAACCGGTGGCTTTTCCAGAAGACAGCCTTCACAGAAGGGGAGGCCTCGGTTCCGGGCCTTAAAGACGCCAAGGTGCTCTCAGGGACTAGCCCCAAGCCCCATCCCTAACGTCTTTATCTTATCGTCTGTGTCAGACATATGTCATCTTCCCAGTCTCTGGAGGCAAGAAAACGCTATTGAAAGGGTAAAAATAAAAATGGAAGAAAACACTGCGGTCCTAGTGCTGCTCCAACAAGTCCAGAACCGTGCCCGTGCCGTCTCCCCGAGGTGCCGCGCCGCGCCGCTCGGCTCCCGGGGTCGAGGCCGCAGGCGGCGCCCTGGAGCCCCGCAGGCGCGGGGATCCCACCCCTCGATTCCCGCGTCGGAACCCCGAGCGC